TAGTACATTTCCTATTATGTGGTGGTTTAATTTTAGTTTAGATAAAGAAAGTCCAGTCACACCTCGAATTCGAACGTGTTTTATATAAATTACAAAATAATCCGCTAAAGTTGTCATGTTTTCCTTATATAAAAGTTAACGACAGCCTTTATATTCGTTTCGGGAACTATGTATCTTTACTGCTCTTCAAAGAGTTACACTGTTACACGCGGGTAACATTGAATAACTCAATTCACTTTATTCCTATATATGACTCTTAGAAGAATATTTATCGTGTAACTGGATAATAAATTATTACATCGGAATGACTTTTTCGTGTATACAGTGCGACTACATGTACTACTTGATCCAACAGTAACAGTCCTGTAGTTCTTAAACTTCAGAATTCCGTGATCCATCTCTGTAGCTTGGAGTTATAAGGTATATGTGAGATGTTCTGCCTGACGATTTACCGGCGGAGAAAATGGTGGCTAAACAGTTGTAGATAACTTAACCATATCTGTCGTGTGATCACGATGCCTGGTGGAGTAGTTGCCGCAGCATTAAACGACCTGGTGAATACGGGTTTTAATAATTGTTATGGGGTAAGGGTTTCGTCCTTGATTTTGATCACAATGACGACGCAATTTCACTCCTGGGTTATTTTTACTAAAATATGACACTGGACAGTGTGGTCGATTACAGTTCAAGATAACTATTTCTGGTTACTCCTGCAGGCATAATGATGACGTATTAACCTGTTTTCCAAACATTTATTTGTTGATTAGTTCGCAATTCATCCTGCCGTTTTTTTTTTCTACACGATTCCTTGTAATGAATAGAGGAAAAAGATCGAGTCATGATGTCAAATTTCTTCCCTCTTAGTCGTTGTTGTAAGGGGAGTAGAAGAATATGCAAACATGAATAACAAGTCTCTCTCTACTGTACAATACCAACTTCATATTTCCTGATTCCAACCTGATTTGAACGGCTCTTAAAAGTCGTTTTGAGAGTCTGTTGTACGGCTATTGTAAATGCAGCTTTTAGACATTTTAACACATTTATCTTATTCTCATCCATCATGCTTTCCATCTGTACAACATCCTGTTATTTTAAATGCGTCAACAACAATGAGAAACAGTTTCAAGCATAACCGATTTGAATACGTTCCCATTACCTTATGAGACACTCTCAAGGGTGTATACATGGTGCATTTTTTTTACTTCTTCATATTCGCGTTCTTCGATATCCGTATCCAATTCCGACCACCATAGCTCCTCGGCGCCTTTCTCTAATGAAGCTGCGGTATAATTACTCTAGTCTTCCTCATAGGAAATTCTCGTGTGCAATGATTTTCGATTGCCATAAATAGCTTCTGAGTGTTGGATCGTGTGCTGTCTCTTTTCAGTCACAGGTGGATTGTCAAATTGTTAATATTGGACCGAGTACACGATTTCGTCGTCTTCATTTCTTTTGTTTGTTACCTTGTGCGACAAACCATTTCCATGGAAATTTTCATGTTTATACTTAACATCACAGTTGATTCCAGAGAGAAACATGGGGTATCTTTGCATCCTAGCATTTGTTGTCATTGAAATACCGTTAGCTGTGTTCAATATTGCTACTTAGGTCTTGTGGTCTGGGATGAGTGTTAATTTCCATCCAAACATATGATGGTAGAAATACTTGGCAACCAAAACCATTGCTAAACCCTCTTTGTCATCATGGGCACAATCTTTTTAGCTAAACTCAATTACCTTGATAATTATGATGTCAGTCGCTCAGTGACATCTTCCGATAGGCTGCATCAAAACCTATTGATGAGGTATTGCATACCAAATTGATTGATTGAAATGTGACATGACAAGCCTTTTCTTTTCTTGGGATGCACCTTGTGTCTCTTTTCTAGTAACTTGTGTAGTGGGTGTAGAAATGTGTTGAAATAGGGCAAAACCGTCCATAATTGCTGACAAGTCCAAACAATGCTTTGAGTTTTGATGTGTTGGTAGATTATTGTACTTCTATTTTTGCCCTTATCTTCTGTTCTGATTTGATGTCTATAAGGAATTAGAATGCTTGCCAAGACGTTCCAGTACATTGATCGGATTTGTCACTTATCCCCTGCTGATCTTATGGGGATTATCATTTCTTAAATAATGCATTGCACCCGTTTTAATCCTCTGCCAATTACGCGACGCCAATCTCCTAAAGTGGTATAAACATATTCCTGTGTTAATGGTAAGAACAATTCATTCTTCTTTCAATGTGGGCGTTGTGAAGATCTAGCTTTGTGGAAACACATTCCTCTTTCACCTAGACTTACGGGGTTCGGACGTGAAAATGTATGGGGTCACCCGCCCGAGCACGTGGGTTTTCTCTTGGTATTCTAGTTTTCTCTACCAGTATTACCCCTTGCGCGCTTTCACCAACACAAATGAAGTTAGATAAATAAAATCTAATGTTCAATTCAAAATATTCAGCTCAGTGAACTTTTTTGTCCGCCAGTTTGAGCCGCAAAATCATCCATAGTGGATACTGACCAATTTCAAGAGCTGGTTTCACTATCACTTTTAAAATTCCTCCTTCTCCATCATAGGTACTATGTGTGTTCTCAAGTCAGAATGTTCTATCCTTGGTAAAATCACTTGCTTTCACTAGCCTGACAATTTCAGCTTTGGGTTCGATTACAAATGATAATGATAGAGTTCTACAAAATCGTGGATGTGAACCTCGCAATAGCGTAAATGTAATCTTTATGTCTTTCAACGTACCTCAAATATCATTTAAACAAACACGTGCCACAACGACGTCTAATCCTTCTGTAAGGTTGTGCTCTGTATGTAGACTATAGGTACTCTTTATCATTTATTCAAGCAAGTGTGATCTCCTGTGACCATTCGCGTCCGAAAAATGCAGAGCCATCTCCCTTGACCACATATACATCTGGTCCCACCTATCCCTTACAAATTTCCTGTAAGAGTGGTAGAATGTATTCAGATTTCAATTAAGGCAATGCTTTATTGCTCAATGTAGCAAGTTTACAACATGCCTTCTTTATATAAAACACTTTACCGCAGTGGCGACAATTTCATCCTTCTAATAACAATCATGCCCTTTCAAGAAACATCTGAATATCTATAGCATGGACTTGGCATTTTGTTATTGTTTCACTCCATTTGTTGTTTGTGATTGTATTTTACCTTATACAAGTTATTTCTGTTCTGTAGCAAACGCAAGGGTTAATTTTGCTTCTTAAAATTCTCTGAATCTGAACAGTTTAGTCCAGATTGAATCTGAGAACTTCAAAATCATAACGTTCTGAAACGTTACGGATCGCTGTCAAAATTTACAATTCCCCCTTCGTTCCGATCTCTTAATGGATATGGTGTGGATAAAATGTATCTTCAATAACCTTATCACTCCGTCATAGGCAACATTGTTCGGCTTTAATGGTGCATGTAGTACTTCATGAAACAATGTATACGACCTCCGTTGCTAGATAAAATTCTCAGGACTTTCTTTTCTCTTGAACAGATAAATTCACGCTTTTCCCGGTGATATTTCCTTGTCTCGTGACGGGACGTTACTGACGTGACCCGGAAGTGGAGCTTCTTTTATGGGGTCAAAACATGTTTTTTCACAATGTACAGGAACATTCGTTCCATAGGTATTACACCTTAATCCATGTTTTATAATGTAATTCAATACGTATTAAGTGAAGCGATACCAGGTAGGTTATCCGGTAACTTGATGCACTGTTAAACTCTCGTGAATTTTATAATACGTCGATGAGACGTTCTCGAAAGAGGCTCTTAAATACTTCTATTGGCTTCCTTTTGTATTCTATTGATATTCATTTAATAAATCAATTTTATAATTTTGATTTGTCGGATTTCCTTTTTTGTGTCCTCGCTGTAATCAGGTTACTTGACTCGTTAACCTCCCTCCTCGTGTACAGGACGGTTACGATGTCCAGGAATTAAGAGAAGGAAATGAACCCCAAATAACGAATTACATTTGCTACAACTCCCACGTATAATGTACATTGCAGGTATGAAGCCGACCGTCAAAATTTGTAAATGAAGGCATTCCTTTGCTTTAATGCTCCTATTATCTAAGTATTTTCATCTCTCTTACAGCACTGCATTCATTTCCCTCATAAGCTGGCATTAATATTGTATGGCACATTGTATAAGTATGAATGGAGAACTGCCGAGGTTGTGTGTCGTGTTGACATATAAATATAAGCTTTCCAAATTTGTGTGTTTTTACAGAAAAATAATGATGTATAACATGTTTGTTCCTGTACCTATTGCTAAGAGTCTTCGTGTTTGCTTCACAGAAGCAAACTTATTGCGTTTCCAGAACAATATATTTCAGAAATAGTCAGTAATAGAAAGATCCCATAGGTAATCGAAGAGAATTATAACTTAATAGCTATGCAGCTATTTGTCATACAAAAATGAATAAAAATTGAGTATCATTTGATTGTGATGCAAAGGAAATTTACCTCGGGTTCAAGATGTATAAAGCATGATCAACTCATCATGTCCTAAGGGTCCCACTTGGTTGTAAAATCAATAGTGTTGGAATATACATAAACGTTAACACAGTATTGCTTTCTGAATTTAATTGCCCGATACATCTTAATGAAGTGTCCCGGACTCTGAATAAAATAGTCTCTCTAGGTAGTTTTTGCTTTAACGAGGTGGAGGCAAATGCCTAGTTCTTTAATAACGAAGGCTTCGATTATCTTGATATAAATAAAACATAATTTTATATTGCCATTACTATTCAATTCTACAAAAAAGTGTTGAAGACTTTACCTCGTTTAAACCGCCAGGGTCATATGAAGACTGATGATATTGACGAACGATGTTGCCATTTTTCCGAAGTGTCATGATCCTGACATGGTAGCCACTTACGAGTCTCATACGTAAGACTAGCTTATCAATCCAATTCGCCATTAATTTCTGACAGCCGAACATTTGATATACAAACAGTACTCTTTCTGTTAACAGACGACTGTTTGGAGTTTGGTTCACATAAATATCGATGTCACAGCTATCCACCCGGAAAAGGGATTGTGTCGTGTGCTAGGGCAGGCAAGATAGGCAAGGCGAGAATACGAACATTGAAGATGACATTGGTTATAGGTATGTATCATCTACATCGATTGTAAATGCATTGATTTTGATAAAATTGAATGACCTGGTAATGTTCTCTGTATACTGTAATTGATTATAACTGAAATAACACGCCGAAAATTCGGTATAAAATACACCCGTAATTCTTCAAAACATGTGAATAGTCATTTCCAAAACCAAAAAGAAACAAAATTCTCGTTTAAATGCTGTGACTATCTCGTTCTAAAGAGGTAGCAACTTTGCACTCTTTAGATCGTCTTTATCATTATAGAGTTTGTGGATAGTTGGTGAACAAATAAAGTTTATGAAGATAGCTGAGTGTGAAAATTATATTTTACGGTCTCCTTCCTTATGTTTTCATTGTCAATGTTCAGCTTTGCCTCGTTTTATGACATTATTTATTCGTCGATTGTTTTTTATATTGTTTTTTTTTTTTTTTTCATTTATCGATGAAAATCCATTAACATCTTAAAATATTCAAATATTGTTCAATGTACACAAAAAACCAACGAATAAACAATGGTTTTAGGTCGCGATGGGTCTGTTTTTCACATTTGTCCGGGTTGAAAGCAAACAGAGTATTGCATCATCAGATATAAACTTCATCTGATCGTAATTGTTTGTGATCAACTTACGATTGCAGGATGGCTTTCAATCTTGGTGTCTTTGGCTTTGATGCCGAAAATTCTTTTCTGAATGATGAATTAGATTAACAAACTAGCAAACTTCTGCGACGCCTGATCCGTTGTATAAGGATCAGCTAGGAGCGTAGCCAGGTTATTGCGAGGGCACTCAACACCAAATGCACTTTTTCCGACACGCGATGTAAACAAGTCACCTGACACGTATATACTCTCGGGACTTCTGTTTGAGACTACACATTTCTGATTGAAATGCTACAGACCCAAATGTTTGAAACGTTTCAAAAACAAATATTTATCAGCTTTGATAGAAAAACTTATTTTTAAACTGAATGAATTCGAGAAGCACATTCATGAAAAATTGCAACCGATTTTTCTTTGTATAAGCATGAAACATAAACATGTCTATCAGTGTTTGTGGTAATATCCCGTTTACACGAGATAAGTAATGCCTATTGACGAGATAATGCTTGTGCTCAACATTCTAAAATATAATGCGATCAGTTTATTTAGTCTTCGGCGACACCATTTATGTAAATCTTGGTCAAAGATCTCGATTCCCCGCGATGAAAAATTCAGTTGATAACATCAAAACTAACGGACATATGAATCGTAAACAGACATGTCTAATTTCCTAAAATAGTCTACTCTTTCCTGTTGAGGTCAGGGCTACGACCACACGTCTGTCTATGACACTTTACACGAAAAACCAAAGTGTTCGTATACATAAGTTTGATCAGTAAAGATACAAGAGCGCGTTTTTAAATAACGATACTTTCACAAAAGTTACAATCTGCTACTGTGCTACGGTCGTTCTATCAATAATGTTTCAACTATCTCCTTTCAGAATTATCTCTACTCCTGCATTATTTTTAATGTACCGAGGTTATTTTCCAAATTCGTACTAATCATATCTGGTAAACATACGTTATATAGTTCTAGCTTTCTCTTCTGCAATGTCCTCATTTTATACAAGTGTTCCCAAACGAAAATATGAATTCGAATGTTAATTATATACGCTCATCAGAAGTGTTACAACGTAGTTATATACAAATATAAACACATTTGTTTACGTATTCGTGTGTGTTTCTCTTTCCAGTGACAGTTTTTGTTCTTTGCTGGACTCCTTATTTTTTCATGGCGGCTTGGTGGTGGATTGACAAGTAAGTAACCAGCATGTTGAACAATAAAACAGAAACACCATTAGTAGAACTGGAAAACAATTTTGACCCTTTGATCAGCTTTCGCAAATTTTGGGACAACATGAAAAACAATACATAGAACATTGAATGCAATAATTCGTTAACACAAAGAATTTCATTTTCGAGTATGTTGTTTTGGACGAAAACCTAATCTTATTGAAATAAGTAGTCTCATGTCAGAAAATACCGGTAATAAGTTCACATGGTTTATGGAAACACAATGGATTTAATCGCATTACTCATGTCTAGTCGTGAAAGAGTGGTCCTTCCCTGCGGGGTCGTTTTTAAAAAGTTATTCCTTTTGTAATTTCGGAAATTTGCGTGTAATTCTTCCTGTCTTCTGAATCTCTTTGTTTTTCAATCTTTGTCGCAGTTAATGATTTCTTCATTACTTCTGGGTTGTAATCTGTCAAGGCCATTTAACCTTATGCCGTTCTTGTTTCTGTGTTGCCCTCCTCATAGAGATCATGCTGTTCATCGGATTTTGTTTTTATGTTGTTGAGACGGGGTAAAAACAATGTTAACCTTGTTGTACTAACACATTTATAACATAAACAAAATCATGATTTTGATATAACCAAAACGGTGAAGCATAAAATACGCCACAGGGCCCCGATGGTGTCAATCACAGAAGTCAAGTGCCATACGTTGTGAAGCTTGCTATTTTACACGGGCATGTCGTCTTGTGGTTTAAGAATCATACTCCTTTATCTCTGTTGCTATTTACCAAGGTCATGTTACCTTGTATTTCAAGTGCTCTGTGTTTGTACTGTATGTTTATATTTGCTGAGCTCAAGTGTTTTTTTGTTTTCAGCATCTCCTGCCCAAAATTGTCTGTTGTTTGAGGTTATGTTTAGATTCCTCTCAATTTCATGCGGGCTCACGTTGTGCGGTCTTTAGTTCACGTCTTAATTCATTTTACTCTTCACGAATTCCTATTGATTTAAAGGTTTGGAGGTCGGTAAAGCGATATGTAAACGCAATAATAGTATTCAATATCCTGAATGACGTGAAACAACTTTCTTTCTTCGACAAAACATTTTCTGTTTCTTCTGTGACATTATAAACATTAAACCAAATTTACTCCAAGAACTAGATAAGTCAAACGATATAAGTTCACCTTGACAGTGATGAATATTCTGTGTATCTAAAATATATAAACAAAACTTCAGTTTAACGAAAAATGTTGGTGCATGTGTCTTTAAAATTTGTTCCTTAGAACAAACGGTTATAAGGAGACTAAAGTAGGTGAACTTGTTTTTAATTTTTGTTTCTGTAGATCCTTATTGTGTTGTTGAATTATACATAGACTGATATAGATAAAAGAGCTATATTTAATTGGCTTTACCTTGCAATTCCAGAGATAACATAATTCATTTCTAATACTCCGATCGATAAATGGAATAATTAGTTTTAAGGTTGTTTGAAACTCATCTTTGACCGGCAGAAAAGCATATTTTAACAATGTTTTTAACCCTGTAAAGAACATACAAGGAACAATCAACTAAGATGTATGAAAACACTATGAATGAGTGAATTCCACAAAGAAGAATGAATATGTATTATACATGAAAACAAAATTACTGTTAATGGTGTTACATGTATATTTATTTATATCATAACTTTTTTGTAAACATTTCAGACAGTCAGCGGTAAATATTGATCCGAAGGTGCAGAGAGGGTTGTTCATCTTTGCTGTTTCAAATGCCTGTATCGACCCTATAGTCTATGGTGAGTCAGTCCTTAAGTAACTTAATTCGACCTTGGTCAGTAGCAATTAAAACTTCGAGAGTTAATCATTCAAATGTCGATTATATGAAGAAGGTCAATTTATGTATTTCATATACTGTTTTCGATTGACTTATTGACTCCAAATATGATAGAGCAATGTAAAAAGCTCAACGATCATTATATAGAAATTAATTGCCAAACACGATGATATCAATTCATATTTATGCGTCGCATTATTATATAAATAATGTTTATCTTTGTTTACAGGAATGTTTACGACAGCTTTCCGACGAGAGGCCAGAAAATGGAGGGGATGGTTCAAACAGAGACTTAACAAAATGGGACTTTATACAATGACCCCCAACACAGCCATAGAGCAAGAAAACTTTAAGTAGTGGGCGATATTTCTCTGCACTATAATACGCTGACAATATGGCGTTTAAATATGTCAACATATGGTGTATTACTATACACAAGTTGTAAAAGACTATTACTTTGATGAAAGTCAGAAAAAGTGCTACATATTTCTTCATGTTATAAAGCTACTAATGATGTCCTCCGAACAAAGATAATGGCAAAATTTGGTGTGCGTGGATTTATATTAAATCGTGGCAAAGGTGTTGGATTACATACATAAAAGACAGGAGCGAATCAGTTACAAACTTAACGCGTCCGTTGATAAATTTAGATAGTGTGGTGCTTAAAGCATGTTTTAATTGGAAACCTGTGATACTTGTTTGTACTGTCTCTTCATGTCAGTTCGGGGAAGGAATATTTTCATATATGTAAAAAATATGTTGTATGTTTTCCTAAAATAGAAATATTCTATTTTTTGTGCAATATGAAGACGGATGTGGGTGATGCTTGTTGGTTTGTCTGTAGGTTCCTTTGTTTGATACGTTGTTCTAGTTTGAAATGGTGATATTGCTCACTTGGAGTGACAACAATTTACAAGGCGTGTGTCATTAATGAAAATGAAGATGATTAACCTTCCGAAACATCTGGTCTTATTCTGGTACTTATTTAGTCTCCGTTTATATCTTGTTTTCGTAAATATTTTGCTCTAGCTTAATTGCATTTGTGTTTGGATTGTGTTTATGTTGCCGTGTTGGTATTTTATTCTTAATTTTGTCTTACAATAAATGTATCACCTCAGAGTAACATAAAATGATGGAATAAATATACCGAAGGAAGTTTAAGCATTAAAAAGAGCAAGTCACGTACACAATGTAGCGAGAATTGATATGAACAATACAGGTAATCGACAGGAATCGCATTGTAACTTGTTGATCAAGTTGAACAACGCTATTATGAGAAATATGTCTGTGCTTAAGGAGGATCATTTTTTCAGTGAGCACTCATCGGGCTGGTTGAGCCACGTAGAGTTGTTTTATTCATAAATTGAAATTGAAAATATAAAACATGTTATTTATGAAGCGTCCGATCATGTTTTTGACGATCACGGTCATAAACCAACAACATCATACAAAAAATTCAATTATAATATGAATTAGTTTCCTTCATTTTATCATTTATAATCAATATTTTGAGGTGTTTCTATTGTAACGTATCGTTGTAACGTGTTATGATTTTCGTTAGAGCTATCCCCCTTTAAGTAAATTTAGGTAAACGTTTGCTACTTCTTTTAATTATGTTTGATTGATTATGAGAAGATGATTTAAAGTCAAAGCCAATCATTTCTAATTATTCTTTTACTAATAAGAAATACAGTTTATATGATTACATAGGAATGTAATTGTTGATCCATAAATAAATGGTTTATTTATGCAAATGTCCTGGTACTTGAGCTTTACAAGACTGACAGGTACATAAAAGTGGGCTACCACTGATACTCTTGGTGGGTTGGTCTGTTGTATATTTTGAAGAATATTGATAAACGGCGGATAAAAAGGCAATATATATATATATAGAGGGAGAGAGAGAGTGTGGGTGTGGGTGTGGGTGTGAGTGCGTGTGTGTGTGTGAGTGCGTGTGTGTGTGTGTGGGTGTGTGTGTGTGGGTGTATGTGTGTGACAGGCTTCTCTGCCTTTGAGTGGTTCAGGGTACTAGGCGTTGTTGTTTGCCCTATCGCCCTGATTGTGAGGACAGAGGTTCTGCCCTAGCCTATACTTCTTATTTATCTATTGTTGTAAATTGTTCAATGCTCGGCCAGAACATAGATGGCTAAACACATATTTTTCATTGCATTGTATCTATGTTTCATCGTTTTTGGGGTTAATTTTCAAAAATCGTTATATATTTGGTTACAAAGATCTCGTCTACATCCAATATGATAAACATGATAACGAATTTTTATTATTATTATTACTCTATCTAGTTGCTTGTATGGACTGATGAAGGGGAATGTGCCTTGCGCAATTAAAGTGAACTGCACTTTTAAACCGTTCATTTACCATTACCACGAGATTCACTTCCTGCCTCGATATGGCAATATGGCATCACTGTGTACCTTTTTGAACATTAAAGAGAACAGTGTCAGGTTAGCTTTATTCGTTAAAAAGGCCACAAAAATGTAGTCCCTGCGCGTGATTTAATTATTTTGGTATACCTGTGCTAAAATCTCTTTCATATTCAATGGATAGGAAATATAATGCTATTATGAATAGCTTGTGAAACTGTTTCCCACAGCAGTAACAGAACTATGTTTTTGTGATTTGGTCACACCTCAAATAAGATTGTCAGACATACAGTTTTGGAACTGAAAACACTTTTTTTAAAGCAGAATTTTACGTAGTATGTAGGCTTAAAAATTGGTGGTGAGAATGCTGACACGAAAGTATGTATATTGAGTGCCATCAACGGCTTTAAGTCAGTGGCACAGGGTGATATTCCGGCCGAAGCAGTCTCTACAATACTTTCAAGATAAGAATGCAAGTTAAAAGGCACACATAACGGAAGTCGCGCAGCCGAGGCCAGGCTCCGTATTCGATCATAGTTCGCTAGTGTATGATGTTTGAATTGTCAGATGATAAATGTACGTAGCTTTCAAGAAATGTCATATTTATCAGACCGCTCACGAGCCTTATAGATGTAACGAAATCCGACCGACAGAGCACTTCACATGGAATCTGGTAAACCTAATACCGTAATCTACGAAACAAAATACAGAATAATAAATTTGTTAAAGTGATGATGCTTATACGTGACTGTACAGAAGACATGTGAAGCAATGCAACAAAACCAGGACGCATTAAATTTTTAGCCTAGCACAATGGCACGCGACAAATTGCTTTCTTCGGGCAATGAAATGATCGGTATTAATTATTTCCATTGGGATGAAGCGAAATCAAAATGTATATATTTAGCAATGTTTGGAACTCCAACAAATATTTGCAACTCAACATTATTTACGTAATGAGTGTTTTTATAAAGACGACATCCATATCATGTATTGTGTAATATCGATATCCTGTACATGAAATGTTGGTATGATATATAGATCGCCCCCTTGATATCTATAGATATAGTCCAATGCTTTTCCGACGGATTATTGTCGTTAGCAGTAAGTAACAGACTAAAATAATGTTTAGGTGTCCGATCGCACTACACACTAAACATGTGCGTGCACAGAAATGGGAGTTCAGAGATAAAGTTGGACGGTTAAGCTACGATGGGTAGGTGAATATTATGAATCCAAAAATAAAAACGAATGATTCTTGAACTAATGATTGAGCAGCGATCAGGGTATCGTAGTCGATCGGTAATTAGGAGCCTTGTCGGGAGACTGCTAATTATACTAATAGTTTCGTTCTCGTAGATGGTAATTTGTGCAGGGTTACTTGGTGTGTCTGCGATTTACACCTACGTACTCGATTTACATCAAAATTTTACAGAAGAACTTTTTTGTCTTTTCAAACTGTTTACAATATAGCTATATTTACTTACCAATGCGATGTACACTCAGCTTAGGAACGAGCGACTTTTGTAAACATTTGGTATGGTACCTTCAGTTATCGTTTTATACCTCCCACCAATAACAAATAATTTACAATCATACCAGTACCGTATCTATGATATTACAGCCGCCGTTAAGAAATCACCTCTGTATATCATATGAGAGGTGAATTGCCTGATTTTGGCATATCCGGCATTGTCCGCGGATACACAATTGATCCAATCATCTGCGCATGTTTTGTATGATATTAAGCATCACATTTGTGTTTGCCGTATTAAAATACTTGATCGGATATTTATTTTTGTAAGGACAGAAAAAGCTGTCCAAAATTAATTTGCTCAAGTTCATTGTGTCTCATTTCATATATATCTCGATATGGTTTTTATCATTCATGTTGTTTTGTTGTTTCAATAAATATCTTAAACAAAGCGTTGCTCTTTTACTTTGTGTTAAAACTCTCTCAATGCTGACCAATCTTGACATTACAGGTAGAGGCGCATTATATCAGGCATTTGTAGTAAAGAACTATGGATCACGTTCTTCCCTGTCAAATGTTGCAGCTGAGGACTTATTAGATGAACGATTTGCATAATTAAATGAATTTAAATCGAATGATGATAATAACGACGTTTTAAATACGTAATTGCATTTGTTGGTTGTGCCTTGTCTTGACTTAAAGGTATCATTGTAATATCTATCGCAGACCAATTAGATACTATATGATAAAACGGTTTAGGTGTTCCACGAGAGAAGGCGTCTTATGTTTTCCTTACATACATCATATCAGTAATGTTCCAGAAAAAAGTCCTAATTGTGAGGACTATATGCTTTTACAATGTATATGCATTTTTTTAAATACTCGATTTAACTTTACTTTAAGTAAATGCAAGGATAAACAGCATCTCAACATTTACAGGATTAAATATCTACAAACGTATATTTGTTTTTGTCTCTATTCAATGTATGCCCTTACTGTTGTGTTTACGTTCTCGTGCATGTTCTTATCACAGTGCTTGCAATCTTTTTTTTAAACAGTTTGTAATTATGTCGGTTTTTGGTAAAGTTTTCATGTACTTTTTCAATTCATTCTTAAATAATTCTACTATATCCCCACGTTTAGTTTTTGGTTAAGTATGATGCTATCATTTGTAGATAACAAACCCTATCAGTTATAAAACACCATTCACCAAGTCGCACGCAGTGTAAGAAACTTTATAATCCCATCACCACATATTTCAAATTCCTGAAGTTACTATTGTAAACTAGTCTGTCAATTGACTATCTTACGTGGTTCCAGAGTGCATAATGCTTCATTTCGTTCTTTCCAAAATACAATTGATAAATTGATAATAGTAGGTAATCTGTGTCTTCGAAAAGTGGCAAAGGTATCAAGACCCGTATATTTCATTCTATTTGAAACAATCGTTTATGTATGAATAATCCAGTCTTTACATGTAAACTAAGGGTCGCCCGCGATAT